TCTTACTTGTACATCCTCGAACAACAAATATTTTCCTTTTCTTCCAAATATAATACTCTTAAGGTTCAAGGTCGGTGTTGTTTTGCCATTTTAAATTTTATCAATGGATCACAAGATGTGGGTGCAGTGGAGCTGCTCCATATAGACATTTTCATGATCTCCAATGCTCGCAATTTGAAGTAGTAGCCATATGCATTCACCTATTAGATCCTTGTATTAATATATCTAACAAATTTTTAGCAACCTTTTTAGTTTATCACTGATGATTGGCAACATCAGAATCCATGACTCATAAGATCATTATAAGATATCAAGCAAACCAAAAAATGATAGGAAAGCTAGACGAATGGTGAATAGTAAATAACAAAAAATAACACAGTCCCCAAATTTATGTCCATCTCTTTGAAACATTCCATAAGCCATGGCTATGGATCTACTCTAAACAATGTATACCAAGGACTTTCTTTTCTTTCTACACCCGAATCCTCTTCATATTTGAACTCTCTTCACAATGGGAAACTCTCTTATAACATAAATTAAAATCTCTAGATAGGCACTAAATTTGGTTAAGTCTGCACCAAAATCAAGTCAAATGTGTCTATTGAATGTGCTTCACTAACCTATGGAGCTTTTTTTAGCTTACTCGACTACATCTCCAAAACTACACCTAAATCTTTGTTGATATTCATGCCTATAATTACAATAGCAAAATAATTAAAACAACAATCAAGTTTAGAAAAATACAGATTAGTAAGAGGTCCTCCTTAAATCCACTTCCTTGTGGTTTCTGAAATTTTTTGGCAACATTTGATTCAACCTGCTGGAGTTGTGAGTGTTAGCATGCAGATCTTTTTGTTGGGTTTCTTGGTCCTCATCACATGCACGTCCTCATGTCAAACTATCCTAGTTTGGAGTATCCAACCTCCAGCTCCAACTTGAGGGGCAATTTCTTGGCATTAATATTGTTCTAATCTTGAGTGTATGACATTTTATAGGCAGGAGCATAACATGAGCTTGATTACAGAGACTTTTACGAAGTACTAGTCTCATATTATGGAATAACAAATGCATATTCATCTCTTGATTGACTATTTGCTGTCTTTTGTAACTTTTGTTAATAGGCATGTGGTTGTTGAGTTTCACATTACTCACAAAGACAAATTGGGGGCTTACATTAAGCTTTATGATTTTAATATGGTGAAGATTGGGAACATAATTTATTTGTCTTCCGCATCTTTCGTCTTCAGTTTGATTACTAAGGATACAATAAGGCTTTTGACTATTAGAGACTTAGAGTTTGGTAATTTTCACTGTAGTAGGCATTTTATAGGTACAAAGGATCCCAAATGCATCGTATGACTTAATAGACTAATTAATGATTTTTCCTACATACTATGAATTATTACAAAGAACCATTTGGATACATGATTTAAATAAATGCATGAATATTAAATAAACTAATTCATGTATCAAATTTAATTTTTTTCATTATTCATGAATCATGTTTAATTTCCAACATTCAGAAACCGAGAACTAAGCATGGGCTAATTCGGTTTCCTCCTTGAATTTTCAATTTTAAGTTTAAAATAGAAAATGATTTTGGTTTTTCATTCTGAAGTACTATTTCTTAAAATAGAAGATTACATTTGATTTAAAATTATGAAAAATTATTTCATGGATTTTTTTATTCAGTAAAACATATTCGCATTCTATTTTTTAAATATTGTATAAAATATAACATTCAAATTAACTTGAAATGATAATATTTCCGGCTCAAGAAGAAGCATTGATTCACCAGCCACTGGGTAAGAAATGAGGACACATTTCCTACTGGGATTTCAACTATTGTCATTGCTTTTTAACACAGTAAGTATCTATTTTCCATTTTTTGTTTTAGTTAAAAAAATTACTGTTTGGCTAGACTTTATTTTTGTAAGCAAAGTAATTTATAGCTAAATATTTAAAAAAATAAAGAAAAAAGAAAAAAACTATAAATAGTCATGGGAATGCTAATTCATTTCTTGAATTTGTTGAGGGTTCATCGTATGTCTTAGTGATGATGTTGTTAATTATTATGACTTTTTTTGCTATCATCCAATAATAAATTAATAATCTCTTATATTTTTATGTTCAGGTTTCTCAATAGCCGAGTCAAAACGGTATGTAACACTCTTCTACTGGAAAAGTATTTTTGTTAACAATAGCTTTGAAAGTAAGTGTTCTCTCACAAATTGCCAATTATAACAAGAATTCGTATAATTGCTTTAAGACATAATTACTAGATGTCTTGCACACAATTATTCAAAACCACAGCTATGCACTATGCATATATTCCTTGATCACAATATAAAGTGATTTCCTTTCCTTCAATACTCCCCTAAAGTTGGAGTGTGAATGTCAAGAACTTAAAATTTTCTAAGTTGTCAGTGAAAAACAACTTATTCCAATGATTTAGTAAATAACCACCTATTTGTTGTCCCATTTCATTGTAGATTATCTCAATTTCCCCACTTTAATTTTTTTCTTGTACTATGTGGCAATCCAACTCAATGTATTTTGTTCATTCGTGGTAGTATGGACATTCATATGATGAAGTCCTCAATTTCGATCCCTCTCCTTTGTATAAATCCTTTAGCAATAAGTCAAGCCTAACAAACTTGGAAGGTGCTATAAGAATGGCAATTAATTTTGAAGACACATTGCCTACACACCGTGTCCATGACGCGTCCTGGACATGGCTTGCATCCCTGCCACGTCCTGGACATGGATTGGACACCGTGTCCCAGAAACTGCCTACAAATGCCTGGAAATCAGGCTGTATCCCTGCAATAGCCACGATGCATCCCGGACATTGCCTGCACACCGTGTCCAAGAAATTGCGTAGAAATATGCGAAAATCAAGATGTGTCCCTACAGCATTCTGGACATGGCCTGCACACCATGTCCCACAAATTACCTAGAAATGCCTGAAAACCAAGCTGCATCCCTGAGGCGGCCTAGACGCGTCCCAAACATCGCCTGCACACCGTGTTCCAGAAACTGCCTAAAAATACCTGAAAGTCAGGATACGTCCCTGACGCATCCTGGACATGGCATGCACACGGCATTCCAGAAATTGCCCAAAATTGCATGAAAATCGGGCTTCGTCCCTGCTGTGGCCATAACGTGTCCCGGACATGGCTTGCACAGCGAGTCTCAAAAATTGCCAAGAAATGCCTGAAAATCAGGCTGCATCCTGCCGCGGCCAGGACGGGTCCCGGACATGGCCTGCACACTGTGCCCACAAACTGCCTACAAATGCCTGAAAATCAGGCTGCGTCCCTACCGTGGCCAGGAGGCGTCCCGAACATGGCCTGCACACCGTGGCCAAAAACTTGCCAAAAATGCCTGAAAATCAGGTTGCGTCCCTGCCGTGGCCCGGACGCGTGCCGGTCATGGCCTGCACACCATGTCCCAGAAACTGCCTAGAAATGCCTTAAAATCAGGCTGCGTCCCTGACGCGTCTTGGACATGGCCAGCACACCGTGTCCCAGAAAATGCCTAGAAATGCTTGGAAATCAGGTTGCATCCCTGCCGTGGCCCAGACATGTCCCGGACGTTGCCTGCACACAGTGTTAAAATGGCTTCCCTAAAAAATATTTTGTTATTTTCGACCGTCGTGTTCTTATTGTGTGTTCTTTCTGAAGCAAGAGAGTTTGTAATAGAAGGTGAAAATAATTTATGGGCAGTTCCATCTTCTATTGACGAGTTCAACAAGTGGGCTGAGAAAACTCGTTTTCAGATTGGGGATTCTGTAGTTCTGAAGTATGATTCCAAGACTGACTCAGTGCTGGAAGTGACCGAGGAAGACTACAAAATCTGTAACAACGCCAATCCAATAAAATCACACCATGATGGAGAAACTACAATTTCACTAGAAAAATCAGGTCTATTTTTCTTCATCAGTGGAGCTGAAGAATATTGCCAGATGGGTCAAAAGCTAGAGGTTATGGTTCTGTCTAATAAACATGGCTCCTTCCACCAATCTCTAGTGCAGGCACCTCCTCCTCATCATCATCGTCACCACTACCATGCACCGGTGCCAGCCTAGACTAACGGTTGTACTGGTCTGAAGGTGACGGTGGGGTTTACTTGTGGCACTGCGGCAGTGGGAAGTTTGATTTCGTTGTGTAGACTAATTTTATTATTCATGGGTTGTAACGTTGAGCTACATATTATTTTTATTATTCTTTGTCAAGTATATATTTCCTGCTTTTAATTCAAAATTAATTAAAGAAAAACCCTAAACCCTATGACCCAGAATCTGCCTAGAAATGCCTGAAAATCAGATTGCGTCCCTGTCGTGGCCATGACGCGTCCCGGACTTGGCCTGCGCATCGAGTCCTAGAAATTGCCCAAAAATACCGGAAAAGCAGGCTGCGTCTCTACCGCGGTTAGGATACGTCCTGAACTTGGCCAACACACTGTGTCCAGAAACTGCCTAGAAATGCCTGAAAATCAGGCTACGTCCCTACCTTCCTAGGAGGCGTCCCGAACATGCCCCGGACGCGTATCGGACATGACCTGCACACCGTGACCTAGAAACTGACAATAATTGCCTGAAAATCAGGCTAGGTCTAGGACATGGCCTGCACACCATGCCAAAAAACTTCCCAGAAATGTTTGAAAATCAAGCTGCGTCCTGCCAAGCCAGGAGGCGTCCCAGACATAGCCTATACACCATGCCCAGAAATTGCCCGGAATTACCTAAAAATCAGGCTCTGTCCCTATCGTGGCCTGGACGCATCTCCGACATGACCAACACACCGTGCCCAAAAACATCCCAGAAATGCCTAAAAATCAGGCAGCGTCCTTGCCTGGCCAGGAGGCGTCCCGGACATGGCCGGTACACCGTGCCTAGAAACTACCCAAAATTACCTAAAAATCAAGCTCTGTCCCTGCCGTGGCCCTAACACATCCCTGACATGACCTGCACACCGTGACCTAGAAACTAACGAGAAATGCCAGAAAATCAGGCTACGTCTAGGACAAGGCTTGCACACCTTGCTCAAAAACTTTTCAGAAATGCCAGAAAATCAAGCTGCGACCTTGCCGTAGCCCGGATGCATCCCGGACATGGCCTGTACACCGTGTCCCAGAAACTACCTAGAAATGCCTGAAAATGAGGTTGCATCCCTACCACTTCCTGAACGTGGCTTGCACACCGTGTCCCAAAAACTGCCTACAAATGCCGAAAATCAAGGTGCATCCCTACAATAGCCCCGACGCGTCCCGAACATTGCCTGCACATCGTGTCCAAGAAAATGCGTAGAAATACGTGAAAATTAAGATGTGTCCTTGCAGCATCCTGGACATGACTTGCACACCGTGTCCCAGAAATTGCCTAAAAATACCTGCAAACTAGGCTGCATCCCTGCCGTAGCCCAGATGAGGCCCGGACATGGACTGCATAACGAGTCCCAGAAATTGCCTACAAATGCCTGAAAATTAGGCTACGTCCCTACTGCAGCTAGGACACGTCCCGGACGTGGCCTGCACACCATGTCCCAGAAACTGCCTAGAAATACCTGAAATCAGGTTGCGTCCCCGACGAATCCTGGACATGACTTGCACACTGTATCCGAGAAACTGCCTAGAAATGCCTAGAAATTAGGTTGCATCCGCGGCCTAGACGCGTCGCAGACATTGCCTGCACACCGTGTTAAATTTGCTTCAATCAAAAATATTTTCTTATTTTCGGCCGTCGTGTTTTTGCTGTGTTCTTTCTGAAGTAAGAGAGTTCATAGTAGGCGGTGAAAATAATTTATGGGCAGTTCCATCTTCTGTTGACGAGTTCAACAAATGGGATAAGAAAACTCATTTTCGGATTGGGGTTTCTTTAGTTCTAAAGTATAATTTCAAGACTGATTCAATGCTGGAAGTGAACGAGGAAGACTACAAAATCTGTAACAACGCAATCCAATAAAATCACACCATGATGGAGAAACTACAATTTCACTAGAAAAATCAGGTCCATTTTTCTTCATCAGTGGAGCTAAAGAACATCGCCAGAAGGGTCAAAAGCTAGAGGCTATGGTTCTATCCGAAAAAGATGGCTCAGGCCACCAATTTATAGCGCAGGCACCTTCTCCTCATCATCACCGTCACCACTACCATGCACCGACGTCAGCCTCGACTAATGGTGGTATTGGTTTGAAGGCGATGGCGGGGTTTATTTGTGGCACTACGACAGTGGGAAGTTTGGTTTTGTTGTGCAAAATAGTTTTATTATTCATGGGCTGCAACGTTGAGCTACATTTTTATTTTTATTATTCTTTGTCACATATATATTATTTGTTTTTCATTCAAAATTAATTAAAAAAACCTTAAACCCCAAACCGTATGACATAGAAACTGCCTAGAATTGCCTAAAGATCAGGCTGCATCCTTACCGTGGCCATGACGCGTCCCTAACTTGGCCTGCACATCGAGTCCCAAAAATTACCTAGAAATGCCTGAAAATCAGGCAGCGTCCCTGCCGCGGCCAGGATGCATCCTGAACTTGGCCAACACATCGTGCCCACAAACAGTCTAGAAATGCTTGAAAATCGTGCTGCGTCCTAACCTAGCCAGGAAGCATCCTCGACATGGCCTGTACATCGTTCCCAGAAACTGTCCGAAATTACCTGAAAATCAGGCTCCGTCCCTGACTTGGCCAGGACGCGTCCTGGGTATGACTTGCACACCGTGACCCAGAAACTAACAAGAAATGCCTGAAAATCAGGCTGCATCTAGGACATGGTCTGTACACCGTGCCCAAAATCTTCCCAAAAATGCTTGAAAATCAAGATGCATCCCTGCCAAGCCAGGAGGCGTCCCGGACATGGCTTGTACACCGTACCCAGAAATTGGTCGAAATTAATTAAAAATCAGGCTCCGTCCCTACCGTGGTCAGGATGCGTTTTGGACATGACCTGCACACCGTGACCCAGAAACTAACAAAAAATGCCTAAAAATCAGGCTACGTCTAGGACATGGCCTCACAAAGTGCCCAAAAATTTCCCAGAAATGCCTGAAAATTAGGCTCCGTCTCTGCCTAGCCAGGAGGTGTCCCGAACATGGCCTGTACACCGTGCCCAGAAACTGCCCATATTTACCTGAAAATCAGGCTCCGTCCCTGCCATGGCCCTGATATGACCTTCACACCGTGACCCAGAAATTGACGAGAAATGCCTGAAAATCAAGCTGCGTCTAGAACATGGCCTGCACACCGTGCCCAGGAACTTCCCAAAAATGCCTAAAAATCAAGTTGCGTCCCTGGTGTGACCCGGACGCGTCCCGAACATGGCCTGCACATAGTGTCCCAAAAACAACCTAGAAATACCTAAAAATCAGGCTGCGTCCCTGTCACGTCCTGGACATGGCCTGCACACCGTGTCCTAGAAACTGCCTAGAAATGCCTGAAAAATCGGCTGCTACCCTATAGCAGCCCCGACGCGTCCTGGACATTGCCTGCACATCGTGTCTGAGAAATTGACTAGAAAAATGTGAAAATTAGATATGTCCTGCTGGAGATGGCCTACACACCGTGTCTCAAAAACTGCCAAAAATTGCCTGAAAATCAGGCTCCGTCCCTATCGCGGTCATGACACGTCCCGGACATGGCCTGCACACCGATTCCCAGAAATTGTCAAGAAATGCCAGAAAATCATGCTGCGTCTAGGACATGGCCTGCACACCGTGCCCAAAAACTTCCCAGAAAAGCCTGAAAATTAGGCTGCGTCCCTGCTGTGGCTCGGACATGGCTTGCACACGTGTCCCAGAAACTGCCTAAAAATGCCAGAAAATCAGGCTACATCCCTACAGCAGCCCCAACGCATCCCGAACACTGCCTGCACATCGTGTCCAAGAAATTGACTAGAAATACATGAAAATCAGGATGTATCCCTGTAGCATCTTAGACATGGCGCTCACATCATGCCCCAAAAACTGCCTAGAAATGCCAGGAAACCAGGCAACATCACTGCCACGGCCCAGACGCATCCCAAACATTGCCTGCACATCGTGTTCCAGAAACTGTCAAAAAATACCTGAAAGTCAGGATACATCCCTATTGCATCTTGGAGATGGCCTGCACACCGTGTCCCAGAAACTGCAAAAAATTGCCTGAAAATCAGGATCTGTCCCAACCATGGCCATGACGCGTCTCGAAAATTGTCAAGAAATGCCAAAAAATCAGGTTGTGTCCCTGCCGCGGTCAGGACGCGTCCCAGACATGGCCTACACATCGTGCCCACAAATGCCTGAAAATCAGGCTGCACCCCCTACCGCGACAAGGAGGCGTCCTGGACGTGGCATAAACACCGTGCCCAAAAAATCCCAGAAATGCTTGAAAATTAGGCTGCGTCCCTATCGTGGCCCAGACGCATCTCGTCATGGCTTGCACAACGTGTCGCAGAAACTGCCTAGAAATGCCTAAAAATCAAGCTGCGTCCCTTATGTGTCTTGGACATGGTCTGCACACTATGTCCCAGAAACTACCTAGAAATGTCTGGAAATCAGGTTGCATCCCTGTTGTGGGCCAGACGCGTCCTGGACATTGCCTGCACATCGTGCCCTATAAAACTGCCTAAAAATACATGAAAATAAGGATACATCCCTGTCGCATCTTGGACGTGACTTGCACACTGTGACCTAGAAACTGCTTAGAAATGATTGAAAATCAGGCTACGTCCCTGCTACGACAGGACGCGTTCCGGACATGGCCTGCACACAATGCCCAAAAACTGCCCATAAATGCTTGAAAATCAAGTAGCATCCCTACCATGGCCATGTCGCTTCTCGGACATGGCCTACACACCGAGTCCTAGAAATTGCTTAGAAATGGCTGAAAATCAGGCTACGTCCCTGTCGCGACCAGTATCCATCCCAGACATGGCATGCACACCGTGCCCAAAAATTGTCATGAAATACCTGAAAATCAGGTTGTGTCCCTGCCACGACCAGGACGCATCCCTAGCATGGCCTACACATCGTGCCCAGAAATGCTTGAAAATCAGGCTGCGTCAATGTCGTGTTTCGGACATGGCCCGTACACCGTGTCCCAGAAATAGCCAAGAAATGCCTGAAAATTAGGTTGGGTGCCTGCCACAACCTGGACAAGGCCTGCACACCGTGTCTTGGGAACTACCTAGAAATGCCTGGAAATCAGGCTGCATCCCTGCCGCGGCCCAGACGCATCCCAGACAGGGTCTGCACATCGCTTCCTAGAAACTGCCTAGAAATACATGAAAATCAGGCAGCGTCCCTGCTGTATCCTTGACATTGCCTGCACAATGTGTCCTTAAAATTGTCTAGAGATACCTAGAAATTAGGTTGCGTTCCTGTCGCGATTTGGACGCGACCCGGACATGGCCTTACACCCTGCCCAAAAATTGCCCTGAAATGCTTGAAAATCAGGCTCCATCCCTGCCATAGCTCGGACGCGTCCTGGACATGGCCTGCACACCGTAACCCAGAAACTACCTTGAAATGACCATAATTAGGCTATTGTGGACGAATTTTGCATCATTCTTAGATATTTTTCCAAGTTTACTTAGGTTCTCTAGAATAGTGTAAATACTTTATTTTTTATTGTAAAATATTACAACTCTCATATTATTGAATATTATTCGTGAGGCATTAATTACTTTCTCTCATTCTTCGTTGAACAACTTGTGAACTTATCAAGATTAATCTTGTGATGTTCAAATCAACCTGGTGAGATTCATTTAAATTGTGTAATCAAGAGGTCCGAATATTGTCGGCGATTCTGGTTGCTTGGTTCCTGTTTATTGGGTTTAATCCAAAACCTTGTCTTTGGCTTTCTTGGGTTTGATTCTCAATTTGTTGTGAGTTTGGTAGTGATCACGCCACGCGGGTTGCATCAAAATGCCTGAAAATAAGGCTGCGTCCTGACATGTCCTGCACACCGTGTCCTAGAAACCCTAAACCCTAAATGCTAAGCCCTAAACCGTAAGCCCTAAGCCCTAAACCCTAAGCCCTAAGCCTTAAACCCTGAGCCCTAAGCCTTGGACCCTGGACCTTGGACCTGAACTCTAGACCCTGGACCCTGAACCTGAAACCCAGAACCCTAAACCATTCTATTCTGTTGTCTACAAAATTACTCAAATTTTATTTGAAAATCTGTCGATTTTTTGCTTAAAATGGCTTCACTCAAAATTATTTTCTTATTTTCGACTGTCGTGTTTTTGCTGTGTGTTCTTTCTAAAGCAAGAGAGTTCGTAGTAGGCAGTGAAAATAATTTATGGGCAGTTCCATCTTTTGTTGACGAGTTCAACAAATGGGGTGAGAAAACTCGTTTTCAAATTGGGGATTCTTTAGTTCTGAAGCATGATTCCAAGACTGATTCAGTGCTGGAAGTGACCCAAGAAGACTACAAAATCTGCAACAACGCCAATCCAATCAAATAACACCATGATGGAGAAACTACAATTTCACTAGAAAAATCAGGCCCATTTTTCTTTACCAGTGGAGATGAAGAACATTGCAAGAAGGGTCAAAAGCTAGAGGTTATGGTTCTGTCCGATAAACATGGCTCCGGCCACCGATCTACAGCGCAAGCACCTTCTCCTCATCATCACCATCACCATTACCATGCACCAGCGCTAGCCCCGACTAACGGTGGTACTGGCCGAAGGCGGCGGAGGGGTTTATTAGTAGCACTGCGACAGTGGGGTGTAGACTAGTTTTATTATTCATGGGTTGTAGCGTTGAGCTACATTTTATTTTCATTATTCTTGGTCATGTATAAGCTTCCTGCATTTAATTCTAAATTAATTAAAAAAAACCCCAAAAACCCTAAACCCTATGAACCAGAAATTGCATAGAAATGTCTGAAATTCAGGTTGCGTCCCTACCGTGGCCATGACGCGTCTGAGACTTGGCCTGCACACCGAGCCCCAGAAATTGCCTAAAAATGCCTGAAAATCAGGCAGTGTCTCTGCCGCAGCCAGGATACGTCCTAGACTTGGCCTGCACACCGTGCCCACAAACTGCTTAGAGATGCCTGAAAATCAAGCTGCGTCCCTACATGGCCAGGACGCGTCCTAGACATGACCTGTACACCGTGCCAAAAAATTGCCCGAAATTACTTGAAAATCGAGCTTTGTCCCAGACGTGTCCTGGACATGACCTGCACACCGTAACCAAGAAATTGATAAGAAATGCCCAAAAATCAACCGCTTCTAGGACATGGCCTGTACACCGTACCCAAAAACATTCCAGAAATGCCTGAAAATCAGGCTGCGTCCCTGCTGTGGCCTGGACGAGTCCCGAACATGCCTGCACACCATGTCCCAGAAATTGCCTAGAAATACCTCAAAATTAGGCTACGTCCTTGTCGTGTCTCGGTCATAGCCTGTACACCGTGTCCTAGAAACTGCCTAGAAATGCTTGAAAATCAAGTTGTATCCCTGCCGCTTCCGGGGCCGTACACCATGTCCCAGAAACTGCCTAGAAATGCCTGGAAATCAGGTTACGTGCCTGCCGCGTCCTGGACATGGCCTATACACCGCTTCCCAGAAACTACCGAGAAATACATGAAAATCAGGCTGCGTCCCTGCTGTGTCCTGGACATTGCCTGTACACTGCGTTCCAAAAATTGCTTAGAAATGCCTAGAAATTTGGTTGCGTTCCTGTCACGATCAGGACGCGTCCCGGACATGGCCTACACAATGTGCCCAAAAATTGCCCTAAAATACTTGAAAATCAGGCTCCATCCCTGCCGTGGCTAGGACACGTCCTGGACATGGCCTAAACACCGTGACCCAGGAACTACCTATAAATGCTTGAAAATCAGGCTGCGCCGTTGCTATGGCCAGGATACGTCCCGGACACGGCCCTCACAAAGTGCCTAGAAACTGACCAAAAAAGCCTGAGAGTCAGGCTGCGTCCCTACCGTGGCCATGGCTTGTCCTGAATATGGCCTGCACACCGTGTCCTAGAAACTGCCCAGAATGCTTGGGAACGTGCCTAAGCCCCTGACACGGCCCGTACACTGTGCTTCCTTTGTTTGGTTTAAAATCTGCTTGCATCCCTAACGTGGCTGGGAAGCGTCCCGAACATTGCCTGCACACCGTGCCCACAAACTGCCTAGAAATGCTAAAGATCAGGTTGCGTCCTTGTCGTGGCCATGATGCGTCCCGAACATGCCCTGCACACAGTGTCCAAAAGTGCCTGAAAATTAGGCTGCGTCGCTGCCGTGTCCTGGACATGGCCTATATATCGTGTCCCAGAAACTGCCTAAAAATGCCTAAAAATCAAGTTGCTTCCCTGTCGAGTCCGGGAAATGGCCTGCACACCGTATCCCAGAAACTGCCTAGAAATGCTGGAAAATCAAGCTGCATCCCTGCCGTGGTCCAGACACGTCCCGAACGTGGCCTGCAAATCGCTTCCCAGAAATCACCTAGAAATACATGAAAATCAGGCTGCATCCCTGCGTATCCTGGACATTACCTGCACACCGTGTCCCAAAAACTGCCAAAAAATGCCTGGAAATCAGGTTGCATTCCTATCGCGATCAGGACGCGTCCCGGACATGGCCTGCACATCGTGCCCAAAAACTACCCTGAAATGCTTGAAAATCAAGCTCCGTCCCCGCCGTGGCTCAGACGTGCCCTAGACATGGCCTGCAAACCGTGACCCAGAGACTGCTAAGAAATGCCTGAAAATCAGGCTACGTCCCTGCCACGGCCAGATGCGTCCCGGAAATGGCCTACACACAGTGCCTTGAAACTGTCGAAAAATGCAAGAAAATTAGGCTGCGTCCCTGTCGTGGCCATGACTTGTCGCGAATATATCCTGCACACTGTGTCCCAAAAACTGCCTAGAATGCTTGGGAACATACGTACGCCCCTGACATCGCCTGCACACCGTGCTTCCTTCGTTTGGTTGAAAATCTGCTTGCATCCCTAACGTGGCCGGGAAGTGTCCCAAACATTGCCTGCACACAATGCCCACAAACTGGCTAGAAATGCCTGAAAATCAGGCTGCATCCCTGCCGCGGCCAGGATGCGTCTCGAACATGGCCTGTACACTGTGACCACAAACTGTCGAGAAATGCCTGAAAATCAGGTTACGTCCCTGTCGTAGCCAGGACGCGTCCTGAACATGGCCTACACACCGTGTCCCAGAAATCCTAAACACTAAGTCCTAAACCAACCTTGGACCCTAAACCCTAAACCCGAAATCTTGAACCCTAAACCCTAAACCATTCTATTCTATTGTCCACAAAATTACTCAAATTTTATTTAAAAATCTGTCGTTTTTTCGCTTAAAAGGGCTTCACTCAAATATATTTTCTTATTTTCAGCCGTCGTGTTTTTGCTGTGTTCTTTCTGAAGCAAGAGAGTTCGTAGTAGGCAGTGAAAATAATTTATGGGCAGTTCCATCTTTTGTTGACGAGTTCAACAAATGGGCTGAGAAAACTCGTTTTCAAATTGGGGATTCTTTAGTTCTGAAGTATGATTCCAAGACTGATTCAGTGCTGAAAGTGACCGAGGAAGACTAACAAATCTACAACAATGCCAATCTAATAAAATAACACCACGATGGAGAAACTACAATTTCACTGGAAAAATTAGGTCCATTTTTCTTCATCAGTGGGGCTGAAGAACATTGCAAGAAGGGTCAAAAGCTAGAGGTTATGGTTCTGTTCGATAAACATGGCTTCGACCACCAATCTACAGCGCACGTACCTTCTCCTCATCATCACCATCACCACTACTATGCACCTGCGCAACCCTTGACTAACGGTGGTACTGGTCTGAAGGCGGCGGAGGGGTTTATTTGTGGCACTCGGTGGTGGAAAGTTAGGTTTTGTAATGTAGACTAGTTTTATTATTCATGGGTTGTAGCGTTGACCTACATTTTATTTTCATTATTCTTTATCACGTATGGATTTCCTGCTTTTAATTCTAAATCAATTAAAAAACCCTAAACCGTAAACCCTATGACCCAAAAATTGCCTAGAATTGCCTCAAAATCAGGCTGCGTCCCTACCGTGGCCATGAAACGTCCCAGACTTGGCTTGTACATTGAGTCCCAAAAATTGCCTAGAATTACCTGAAAATTAGGCTGCATCTCTATCGCGGCCAGGATACGTCCCGGACTTGGCCTGCACACCGTGCCCACAAACTACCTAGAAATGCCTGAAAATAAGGCTACGTCCCTACCTGGCCAGGACGCGTCCCGGACACCATGCCCAAAAACTACTTGGAATTACTTGAAAATCAGGCTCTGTCCCTGTCGTGGCTCGAACGTGTCCCGGACATGACCAGCACACCGTGACCCAGAAACTGACGAGAAATGCCTGAAAATCAGGCTGTTTCTAGGACATGACCAGCACACCGTGCCCAAAAACTTCCTAGAAATGCCTGAAAATCAGGTTGTGTCCCTGCCGTAGCCTGGACACGTCCCGGACAAGGCCTGCACACCGTGTCCCTGAACATGCCCTGCACACCGTGTCCCAAAAACTGCCTAGAAATGCCTGAAATCAGGCTACATCCTTACAACAGTCCAAACGAGTCCGGACATTGCCTGTGCACCGTGTATAAGAAATGTAATGCCCCAAAAATTTTGGAATAAAAATATATTTGTCTTATATGTTATAGTTTTAAAATTTGAGGACTGAAATGAAATAGCGTTTGAAGTTATATTTTATTTGGCACCAATAATTACATTTTGATAGAATGAGTATAAGTATATCAATATTGGGCTCATTTTGTAACTCGCATTTAATAACGTATTTTCAGCTCAAGAAAATATGAGTTCTTTTAAGTTAAAACTAAGTTATTTCAATTCAAAGAAACATAGATAATAAGCATCGTTTTTATTATTTAACAATATTTCTTTTAAGATAATTAGGAAAAGAAGCTAGTATTTTATCATAATAATCAATGTTTATCTTTTCTATTAGAGAAAGAGTTTTAATTATTTTTAATCCTTGTTTACATTTATATGCCAATATTTCTGATTTTCTGGTACTCGTGATTTAAGTAGTTTGCAAAGTAATGTGTAGGGAGAGATATTTTTAGTTAACTATGATTGATTGATGTTTGGATAAAATAATTTTCTCTTAGATTGAAAATTCATTTGCTTTGATTTTGGAATCCTACTTAGAATATTGATTTAACATTTATGACTTTTTGACCATTCTAAGATGACACACGTTTTTAGGCCTAGCTTTGAATGAATTGGTTATTATATAATAATATTTTTGGACAATCTCTAGCCTCTAAGCATGATGCATGGCAATTATACCTTGTACTCTCAATTGTGTCAATTGCCTTTAAATTAGAATTGGTAAATTTCCTTATGATAAGAGTATGGGTAGCCACACGTGCACGCACATTTCCAACTCTCAATTAGGATAAAGGTTAATTTTAATTGCTAATTGAATTTGAATAATGGTAAGACACGATTTGGAGCCTCTAACAAATTTAGTTATTTTGGGCATATAGTCCAATTAAGCTTATAATATACTATTTAATTATTTATTTCATTTTATATGATGATATGATAACCTGTCATTTTATGTAAATTGACACTAACTTGACCATTCTTATGTTAAATAGATCCTAATTAATTTAATTTGATTGATATCCAAACAAAGAGTTTTTGTAATTGGACAGATAGCTAATTGACGAGATTTCTGTTGGTTAGATTGCATAATTACCCTTTATATATTTTTAACAAATTTGACAGTCAAAACCTTTCTTAATTTTACACCTCCCTTACATTATAAATTCATTCCAAATCCTCGAAAATTTATGAGATAAAAACCACTCTCTTCCATCTTCACTTAACTCTCCATTGCGTGTCCAAGTCTCCATTCCAGAAGTGTTCTCTTTGTATTGTCGGAAACGGGTTTTAATACTCTTAGAAAGAATTTTGGCACGTGGAATTGCCACTGGATCGACGTTAAATCCACCAGACGCGACAACAGCAAAAAGGTTTTGGGAACGTGAATTCCTTACTTTTCTATTATCAATCGAGGTAGGATACTTTTATGTGCAAGTGATATGTCCTTTCAATATTATGATTTTTATGTATGATTTATTTCATGAAATGCTAATCGACCTGCGGGTCCAATGAAATGAAACGAAATGTTCGACCTGCGGGTCTCTATGAAATGAAATGAAATGTTCGACCTGCAGATCCCTACGAAATGAAATGAAATGTGAGATTGCCTTCGGGTCTTCTCAAATTGTATTAGAGCTTTCGACTGATCACCGATTGCTCTTGACGAAATGTTGGTATTAAATGTTATGAGTTTACGTTTTAAATTATTATATTGTTTGGACGCACGTATCCTACTGAGGGTAATTACTCACTCCTTCAATTTCAATATTTCAGATTAGTACGGTCAACGTGGATGGTGGCTGAGCGATGCGCGGGTTGCCAAGTAAAGAAAAACTTCGCAAGAAAACGTTTTAAAATAATTCTGTTGGAATTATGTGCTTTAATTTAATTCTGTTTAATGTTCTATGTTTATACGACAATTTGTTTATTCAATTTGGTATTTGAGTATTAAATAAATCAAGAGTTTTAAATTTTGAATTAAATATTTTCGCTTTATGTATGCGATACGAAATGATATCGGTAACACCTCAAATTTTAAGTCGATAAAATTTGGGGCATTACAAGAAACTACCTAGAAATACGTAAAAATCAAAATGTGTCCCTGCAGCATCCTGGACATGGCCTGCACACCGTGTCCGAAAAACTGCCTAGAAACCAGGCCGGATCCCCGTACGCGTCCCGGACAATGCCTGCACATCGTGCTCCAGAAACTGCCTAAAAATCCCTGAAAGTCGGGACGCGTCCCTGCAGCATCCTCGACTTGGCCTGCACACCGTGTCCTAGTAACTGCCCAGAATTGCCTGAAAATCACGCTCCGTCCCTGCCTTGGCCATGACGCGTTCCGGACATGGCCTACACACTGTGTCCTAGAAATTGCCTAGAACGATCAGAAAATCTAGCTACGTCTTTGTCGCGGCCAGGATGCGTCTCCGACTCGACCAGCACACCGTACCCACAAACTGCCTAGAAATGGCTGAAAATCAGGCCGCGTTCCAACATGGCCAGGACGCGTCCCTGCCGTGGCTCGGACGTGTCCCGAACATGATATGCACACCGTGACCTAGAAACGGATAAGAAATGCTTGAAAATCAGGCTGCTTCTAGGACATGATCTGTACACCATGCCCAAAAACATCCTAGAAATGCCTAAAAATCAGACTGCGTCCCTGCCATAGCCTGGATGCATCCCGGACAAGGCCTGCACACTGTGTCCCATAAACTGCGCAGAAATGCCTGAAAATCTGGCTGCGTCCTTGTCGCGTCCTGGACATGGCCTCCATACTGTGTCCTAAAAACTACCTAGAAATGCCTGAAAATCAGGCTACATCCCTACCACAGCCCAGACGAGTCCCAAACATTGCCTGCACAATGTGACTTAGAAACTGCCTAGAAATACGTAAAAATCAGGATGTGTCCCTGCAGCATCCTGGACATGGCCCGCACACCGTGTCCTAAAAATTGCCTGAAAACTAGGCTGCATCCCTATCGTGACCCAGACGCATCTCAGACATTGCCTGCACACCGTGTCCCAGTAACTGCCCAGAATTGCCTGAAAATCACGCTCCGTCCCTGCTTTGGCCATGACGCATTCCGGTCATGGCCTACACACCGTGTCCTAGAAATTGCCTAAAAATGTCAAAAAAGTAGGCTGCGTCTTTATCGCGACTAGGATGCATTCCAGACTCAACCAACACACCGTGCCCACAAACTGCTTAGAAATGCTTGAAAATCAGGCCGCATTCCAACTTGGCCAGTACGCGTCCCGGCCATGGCCTATACACCGTGCCCAAAAACTGCACGAAATTACTTGAAAATCAGGCTCTGTCCTTGCCGTGGCCCCCACGTGTCCCTAAAATAACCTACACATCGTGACCCAGAAATTGATGACAAATGCTTGAAAATCAGGCTGTTTCTAGGACATGGCAAGGACACCGTGCCCAAAAACTTCCCAAAAATGCCTGAAAATCAGTCTACGTCCCTGCTATAGCCTGGACGCATCCCGGACATGACCTGTACATCGTGCCCAAAAATTGCCCAAAATTACCTAAAATCAGGCTCTGTCCCTACAGTGGCTTAGTCGTGTCCCGAAAATATCCTGCACTTCGTGACCCAGAAACTGACGAGAAATGCCTAAAAATCAGGCTGCTTCTGGGACATGCCCTGCGCATCGTGCCCAAAAACTTCCCAGATATGCCTGAAAATCTGGCTGCGTAGGGGCCATGGCCTAGACGCGTCCCTGACATTACCTGTACACCGTGTCCTAGAAACCGCCTAGAAATGCCTGAAAATCAGGCTGCATCTCTGCACGTTTTGGCCTGTACACCGTGTCCCAAAAACTGCCTAAAAATGCTTGAAAATCAGGCTGCATCCCCGTCGCAGCTCAGACGAGTCCCGAACATTGCCTGAACACAGTGTCCAAAAAACTGCCTAGAAATACGAGAAAATCTTTGTGTGTCCCAGCAGCATCCTCGACATGGCCTGCACACCGTGTCCCAAAAACTGCCTGGAAACCAGGCTACGTCCCTGCCGCGGCCCAGACGCGACCTGGACATCGCCTGCACACCGTGTTCCCGAAATTGCCTAAAAATACCTGAAAGTCTGGATGCATCCCTGGCATCGTGGACATCGTTTGCACACCGTGTCCCAAAAATTGCCCAGAATTACTTGAAAATTAGGCTCCGAATCGACGTGGCCAGCACACAGTGCCCAAAAACTTCCTAGAAATGCCAGAAAATCAGGCTGCATCCCTGCTATGGCCGGACACGTCCCCGTCATGGCCTGTACACAGTGTTCCAGAAAATTGCCTATAAATGTCAGAAAATCAGGTTGCGTCCCTGCCGCGTCCTCGACAGGGCCTGCACACCGTGTCCAAGAAGCTACCTTGAAATGCCTGAAAATTTGGCTGAATCCCTGCACATAGTGTCCAAGAAATTACCTAGAAATACGTGAAAATAAGGATGTGTCCCTGCAACATCCTAGACATGGCCTGCACACCATGTCCGAAAAACTGCCCAGAAATGCCTGGGAACCAGGCTGCATCCCTGCCACGACCCAGACGTGTCCTAAACATTACCTGCACACCGTGTTCCAGAAACCACCTAAAAATACCTGAAAGTCAGGATGCATCCCTACCGCATCTTGGACATGGCATGCACACCGCGTCCTAGAAACTTCTCGAATCGCTTGAAAATAGGCTTCGTCACTGTCGTGGCCATGAGGCGTCCCGGACATAGCCTGCACACCGAATCCCAGAATTTTCCAAGAAAGGCCTGAAAATCAGGCTGTGTCCCAACCGAGGCATGGATACGTCCCGGACATGGCCTGCACACCGTGCCCACAAACTGCCTACAAATGCCTAAAAATCAAGATGCGTCCCTAATGTGGCCAGGACGTGTCCCGGACATGGCCTGCACATCGTGGCCAAAAACTTCCCAAAAATGCCTTAAAATCAGGCTACGTCCTTACTGTGGCCCAGAGGTGTCCCTTTCATAGCCTGCACACCGTGTCCCAAAAACTGCCTAGAAATGCCTGAAAATCAAGCTGCATCCTTGACGCGTCGTGGACGTGGCTTGCACATTGTGTCCCAGAAACTGCTTAGAAATGCTTGAAAATTAGGTTGCATCCCTACCGTGGCCAGGACATGGCCTGCACTCCGTGTCCCAGAAACTGCATAGAAATGCCTAAAAATCAAGCTGCATCCCTGTCACGGCCCAGACGAGTCCCGGACATGGCCTGCACACCGCCTCCCAGAAATTGCCTAGAAGTACATGAAAATCAGGCTGCGTCCCTGCCGCATCTGGGACATTACCTGCACACTGTGTCCCAAAAACTGCCTAGAAATGCCCAAAAATCAGGTTGCGTTACTGTCATGATCAGGACGCATCCCGAACATGGTCTGCACACCATGCCTAAAAACTGCCCTGAAATGCCTGAAAATCAGGCTCCGTCCCTGCCGTGGCTCAGATGCGTCCTGAACATGGCCTGCACACCATGACATGGCCTGCACACCGTGCTTCCTTCGTTTGGTTAAAAATCTGCTTCCGCCCCTAACGTGGTCAGGACGCGTCCCGAACATTGCTTGTACACCGTGCCCACAAACTCCTAGAAATGCCTAAAAATCATATTGCATCCGCGGCTAGGACCCGTCCCGGACATGGCCTACAAACTGTGTCCCAGAAACTGTCTAGAAATGCCTGAAAATAAGGCTATGTCGTGGACATGTCCTGCACATCGTGTCCCAGAAACCCTAAACCCTAAGCCCTAAACTGTAAGCCCTAAGCCCCAAGCCTTAGACCCTGAACCTTAGACCCTGAGCCCTGAACCCTAGACCCTGGACCCTGGATCCTGAACCCTGAACCCTAGACTGTAAACCCTAAACCATTTTCCTTCTTCAAATAGCACAACCAGTAATTACACCACTGGAGAGCCAAGCTTTATGGAAGGACTTCAACATGAAAAACAAACTTCGTGTGAAAATCTTTCCGTAAATGTGATACGCACCGATCAATCTTGATTGGAAGGATAAGAGAGAGAATAGTTCTTCTTTCGAATATCAAATAAAAGGCCAGTGGACAGGCGAAGAAGACAGGAGACTGATTAGCTTAGTACATCAATTTGGATTAAGGAAATGGGCTGTAATAGCTGAAGAAATGGTTGGCAGAGTGGGAAAATAGTGTCGCGAGCAATGGAATAATTATCTGCATCCTCCTATCAAGAAGGACATTTGGACTGAAGATGAAGAGAGACTGTTAATTCAAGCACATGAAAGACTTGGAAATCGATGGACGGAGATAGCTAAGTACATTCCTAGAAGAACTGAAAATTCAATAAAGAATCACTGGAATGCCACAAAAAGGAGGCAGATTTCAAGGAGAAAGATAAAGAAAGTAAAAGGGGATAGAAGACAGTCAACACTATTACAAGATTACATCATAAAAAAGTATTTCAGTAATGGTTCCACCTCCACTTACTCAAATTTCGACACCACCACCACTGTAGAAAAATCCGTCCAACGCCGGCATACCACTCTCTGATGATGACGACACTACACCCTTTTTTCAGTTGCGAATCATGCAATGACGAAATTGATTTCATGAAAACCCTGTTTGAAAACAATCAGTCCATCGATTCAATTTCAGTCGATCATTGTCAACCAATGAATCTAGCTGAAGGGACATCTGAGAATACTTATAGCTTCAACATTGATGAAAATTATAATCATCCCACCATCTTCTTCACTTCCCCGAAGATTTTACAGACAACTAATTCTCAACTGCTTGCTGTAGAATATATGGTAAATGACTTATTCCATTCTGCTCCAAACCCTATGGGGAATAAATTTTTCCCTTCTGAGAATTCAGATTTAATCATGGAATTTAATTCTAACTTTCGAAGCGTGGAGATTGAAGGTTCACAAATTTATCCTGATGAGTTGTACTTTTTATATCAATGGGATGGAGGCAATGCTGGAAATGTAAATTCAACAACAAATCTACCAATAATTGATTAAGGTACAACCTTTGGAAGCACAATGGACACGAATTTGATGGATAGGGTCTCATCTTCTCAGCTACCTCCTCAATTAAGTCCATACAATGGCTTCTTCTAATCTAGTTAATAATTATTATCCTATAATTATTGTGTTTTAGCTTAGTTAAACACTCTATGACTTTACAAATATCTGTAAAACTGAATTCTGCTGCTTCGTTAGAACTTATCAAAAGGCAATTCAGGCAAAAAAACCCTAAACCCTAAATCGTAAGCCTTAAACCCTAAGCCCTAACGTGGCCGGGAAGCATCCCAAAGATTGCCTGCACACGTGCCCACAAACTGGCTAGAAATGCCTGAAAATCAGACGCGTCCCGGATATGGCCTGTACACTATGCCCACAAACTGTCGAGAAATTCCAATGCAAAATTCCAAAAAGGAACAACTTCCTTTTAGACATGGAATTCATCTATCTAAAGAGCACTGTCCCAAGAATGCAACGGAGAGAGATTACATGAGAAAGGTTCCTTATACTTTGGCTATGGGAAGTTTCATGTATGCTATGCTTTGTACTAGACCGGATATTTGTTATGCTGTGGGTATTGTCAGTCGCTATCAGTCTAATCCAGGACCAAAACATTGGGTAGCGATGAAGCATATACTCAAGTATCTTCGGAGAACGAGAGATTATATGCTTTCTAATCCGGACACAATTTGAATCCTATTGGATATTCTGATTCTGATTTTCAATCCGATCGTGACTCTAGGAAGTCTTCATCAAGATCAGTATTTACATTAGGAGGTGGAGCTGTGGTATGGAGGACTTATCAAGCAGTCTTGTATTACTGATTCCACCATGGAGGCAAAATATGTAGTGGCTTGTGAAGCTGCTAAAGAAGCTGTATGGTTTAATAAGTTTCTTTTGGACTTTGATGTTGTACCTTTAGCAACACGGCCCATAACGCTTTATTACGATAATAGTGGGACAGTTGCCAATACTAAAGAACCCAGGAGTCATCAACGTGGCAAGCATATCGAGAGAAAATATCACCTTGTTAGAGAGATTGTTCATCGAGGAGACGTGACAGTTAGTAAGATTGCATCAGCAGATAATCTTGAGGATCCATTCACTAAGACCTTACCAGCTAAGGTTTTTGATGGACATCTTAAGAAGGTACCCTCTTGATATATCACACATACTCTAAGAAGGGTGATGGGAGATTGTTAGCTTGATGCTTATTCTTCGAATAGTGTTCTGTAAAATCACACTATGAATTGATGTTCATTTATTTGAGTGTTATAGTTTGAAGTGATTATCTAAGGTTCCATGATCATATAGGATGTCACAAATTGTATACTCGATGGATCGGGTATAGTAAGACACAATTCGTGATGTGATCAAAATTATGTCGTTCACAATCAGTTCATAAAGTTGGACGCTTTATGTTGATAAGATTGTATTGTTCTTATTAAGATTTGTCTAGATCTTGAAATAGGAACAATAATGTGTTTCGATGCATATTGAACGGGACCGCATAGATAACTCATTTGTGACCGTTCAAAATGAGACTCTACTTGATTATCAAACATGTCACTTAAATCCTAAGTGAGTAATGTAACTTTGATTGCTAGTTCAAGTTCTTTGACCTACCAATGAGTGAAGTCTTAAATAGAATATTGATCTTGGTGCTTTGGAAATTGGGCCGAAACAATTAGAGATCATATACTTACAATAGTGAAATCCATTAATCATTGAGATGAGACGATCGTCACTCTAAGGTATTTTCCTAGGCAAATTGAATCTGAGCTCAGTAGGTCAACGATGAGGTCGTTGGACTTTACATTGTGATTTGATTACAACGAATTTGTTGTATGAAAATGGGACTTAGAAGGTAATACATATTGAAGGGCAAAACGGTCATTTTGCCAGTTTCAACATATTGGCGGTCAAATGGGGGTTGACTTGTGGAACGATAATCAAAGGATATTGTTATTGGATCATAATTTACTTCTATAACTATCACTCGACTCGAGAGTGCAATCTTGATTTTTTGGTAGAATAAGTCTACATAATTATAATGTTTAATACTCGAGCTAGTGATATTATAAACCCCAAAGAGTTGATAAAGTGAATGGGAGAGGACAAAAATAAGGAATGAAGCCATTCTGTGTTCTTAGACAATTTGTTGTCAAACGACCTCCCCGAGTTGTGATATTAATTCAATTTTAATCTTTAGCCGGCTTGACCAAATGACTGAATGAAATTATAGTATCATAATCGAAACGACACGACCCAAAAGATAATTGGGCTTTTGAAGCAACCTAAATATTTTAGTGTTGCTCATGGCTAAAAATTGTGATGTTTCACTTGGCAGCCCGTCTGTCCATTAATTGGGCCTTTACTTGACCCATTTTACTACCATAGTGTAACTTACCTTACTTGGGCTCTTGGTTGTAATAATTGGGTCTCTTACCCTTTACCAATTGACCGCATGCCTCTCTTCTTCTCTATGTGAGGCATGGGCTTTGTACTTCTTCTACTTTCCGCCATGTCACTTGCTCACTTTACTTCTACCTTTGTGGTGATTGTCATTAAGCTATTACTTGCCTTTGTGATCTCCTAAGTGTGTAATCTCTTTGGCAATCGAAAGTGGGAGGCTTGGTATTGTCTTGGATCGATTGGTTGTTTGATTGTAGTGTAGTTGGTGAATAAACTTAGCTTGGTACACCTTGCTGGTCAATACATCTTCAACATATGGTATTAGAGGATGGGTTGGTGAAATCTATCAAAAATTCTGGTCAAAATTAAGAAAAAGGGTCAATTTCTTCAAAGTACTAGATCTGAAATTCTTCAATTACTCCCAAACAAGAAAAGGGCTGACGGTTTTGGCCCAAGATTTTTTCTCACAGAATACTTATTTTAATCTCTTGAACGTACTAATGTGATTTGTTTAGTGTTTCAGGTTATGCAAGAAAATTTGGACGATTTCGCTCCTAGATATCAATCGGTGTTTGTAGCTGATTGGCATTGGTATATTACTGAACCTTTAGGGTGAATGGTGGTGGCCCTAAAGCAACAAACTCGTATGTCTTGACTTTATGGACTCAAATAGGTTCGCTCTGATAAATTGGCTTAACCTGTTTAATTTTGAGCACTAGTGCGTCACCGTGTGGGGTGACAATAGGATTGTGGTTACCGTGAAGGGGTAACATTGCTTGTGCTAGAAACTAGGATTACTTGCTCTTGTCTATTGGATCGAGTACTTGTTCTTGTTAAATCAAAATATTGTTCTGTGTACTATAATTGCTGTGAAACTTGGTATTTGTTAGACATATCCATCTGCATTATTATTTTTGCTGCTTATTAACTCTGTTAGAGTACCGAGACCTTACCCGTTCAAACATTCCTTTGATCTAAGACCTTACCCGTTCGAACATTCCAAACCAAACCAAATCATTTTATTTTTCGAACTAAATCAAACCAAACCATAATTTGCGGTTGATTCGATTTTAATTCGCGGTTTACCTATCGATATTATAGTAATAATATTTAACATAAGCTAAATATAAGTTTAAACAAGAACTAATAATGTTAATTATTAAATTACATTCATATTTACCATGAAACCCATGAATAAATTATTTTCAAAATTGGTTCCTAAAAGATATTAATAAAACAAATACATTTTTCTTTACCTTTTCTCGTTTGACATTCATATTGTCATATAGCGATTGGTAAATGTAGAGTTACATTTTGTTATTATAATTTAATTAAAACTCATTTCATCTTGTTAGTGAGATGTTAAATAAGGATTGAACGTGATATGTTTAGATGTACAAAGATCGATAGAGTTTTGGCTTATTAGGAATTGACGAATTTTATCCTCTAACTACTTTATGAAAGTAGAAGGTAGAAGTACTAGTTAGGAAACTTTAATATTTTCACAAAATCAATACGCTTCTTCCTTCGTTCCTTCCAAATCACAAACAAGTTCATTAATCATCTAGACACACAAACAATCATTCTTCTATCCAAATCACAATTCACAAGTGTATAATAAGTTCAAAAAACAAATAAAAGAAAAAAGAATGGAAAAATGGCTTGAATAAGAATCTGAAACTTACCGAAAGAAAAAAGAGAATAAGGCGATTCAGGTAGAAATTAGTAGTCTAACAGGCGAAAGCGACTGGTGATTCGTTCAGTAGTAGCAGACAAGTGTCAAATGTTAGGGAAATTAAAGTTTATGTTAGGGCTTCTGAAACTTTGGATGTGATTTGCTAACATAGTCTTGTTGAATTATGATTTGGATTGTTGTGTGTGTGTGTGTGTATATATATATATATATATATAAGGTGAGAACATGTGTGTTGAACCTATTAAATCATAGGTCAATAATAATGAAGCTAATTTATTTTCTATAATTATTTCAATAAACTGGTTGTAATTTGCATTGTTAAATTAATATTTTTAAGTTAATAAAATTAATGTTTTAATTAAAAATTTTTAAAACGGTTTGGTTCGGTTTTGTGTGGTTTATGAAAATCA